AAAAACCTTTAAGCCCTTAAGATCTTGTTGTAGTCCTGCTGTGTTAACACTAGTCACACCTTTTGAATAATTCCCAAAGATTAGAACTAAGAACAACATGTTCTTTTCAGAAAAAATATGTGAGATGATCAAGTGGCCCAACTGGATAAATAGTTAGTTGGATTAAATGCAAGTTGTGTGGCCGTGTCAATCGTTAAGGGCTCGAAGTTAATGTACTTGCAGCAGCTTGATTTGCATAATAAATCGAAATAACCACCCGATAGACCTATTAAGTATGGACGCGGCACAATCGTTATTTTGAGGTTATTCAGCGTTCCCAATGATAGAGAGAGAGGTCCGTGAGAGGTGGAGCTAGTTTGGGCTAAAAGTAGGCGGGACCAAAAAATATATAAAATATATACAGGGCGTGTGGAAAAAGGCGATTAATCTGTTAAATTATTTATACGCTTAATATTTAAATATTGTTTTTATCTTGGTATCCACTTGGACAGAAGAATGACCAGGAAGGAACATATTTTTTACAAGAGAAAGCAGTTAGATCTTAAATTGCGAAATCTGTACTGGCTAATAGGTAGGATGTTCCAATTAACAATACAAAATAAGAACTGTATTTGCAAATGCCTGGGAATTTAGGCTCAGCTGAAAAATGCATTTTACTCGGCAAAAAAAATAATAAATCACAATACCCTCCGCTGCACCCCTCAACCCTATTCTACCATAAGCTACCCTCCTCTACCCCAGCTACCTTGCATATCTGAAAACGTTACTCACGTGGTCTTTTGCTTTCTTACTATTGGCTAATGCATTGTCCAATTTCTCATTGCCATATGCCCAAACTAGCTGCATCTCTCTCATTCATCGACAACACTACCTCTTTGTCTAAACCGCGTCCATAGTTAATAGGTCTATTAACCACCCCGATAATTTTTGCTCTTTTACTTATTCAAACATAAACTAATTATCTTGAAGCTGCTTGGAAAAAATTGGTTAAAGGCAGTTAGGATTACGAACACGCTGCGATTTTTACCACCGCTATATTGATAAAAAAATAAATTCATTTTTCAACTTTGCGTCATTCCGAGAGATAAACAACTGTCCGTAGAAAATAATTTACATAATTACAAAAATGGTGACATTTATATGCGAGAGAGTGAATCGCCTGTTTGTGCCTCAATGTCACTTGATAAGGTCTAAATAAAACGGAGGATGTTCTCTTAAGTCGGTCGAAAAAAATTTATACGGCAGTTATAAAAATCAGGAATTTCTTCATTAAGTCGGCCGATAATATCGGAATATTCAATACAAATACTTATACTCAGTTTAGTTGAATAAATTGGAATAATATGCTATTTTTGTAGTGCTTCAACTACTTGTATTTTAATAGCATTAGCAGGTGAATAATAAAATCCTGCTTCAGTTATGTGCTAGTTAAATTTATATGGAACATTTCCTGCATATGTTTTTTTTTATGTTCTACTTGATTCATGTTAGTTCCCGAGAATATCTAAAATCCAAACAAGGCTACTTTAGCATCTATCTATTCCGCCTAATGTCATCTTAAGAGTTTGTGCCGACAAAGCGGACGTGCTTTAACCAAACTAAATAATAATATTCATATCGATTCCTTTTAGATAAAGCCGAACTGGCAGTGGTCGTATAAAAAAATTCCACGCGATTACGGTCGATAGGGAATTTTCTTCTGTGAACATTTATTTTTCAATTAACGTTCGTTCGTTCCGATTCGAATCCTGACCTCTATCTTCTAGCGATTGTCCTTATAAACCAGATCGCAGATTCACGTAAAACGTGGCTTTTTCATCTAATTGTGATCCGTACTTTGTTATTTCTGCGCGTCTTTTAGGCGTATAAGGTCTGATTTACATTCCCGTTACGTTTTAGCATTTCGTTTTATTTGACGTACCACCTAACCGTGCGAATTCGGTACGAACAACGACCGTAGGCCGGTCATTCTGTCGCAATTAACAAAATGTAGGTAATAGTATTATAAAACATACCACTTTCAATGAAACATGTAATATAATATACTTTAAAAAGTTCACATATACCAATTAGGTGTAGTAATTACTAGTTAATTTCCACTTTTTAACAACCTATTTTAATATCTTGCAATTTATACTACGACTATTTTTATCAATAATTTCATCCTGTTAATAACTTTTATTTACAATTAAGTGCTTAGTATTGAATGGAAGCGAGTTATACTGGCCTATAAGTCGCTCAGCGTGCGAATAATCCTTAACAGGACACGGAGGTCTTCTTCCTTATTTACACATTTAATATTTACTTCGTGATGACGGCCACAGGGGACGGAAACGTCGAAATAAAACGGCAAGTCTACGTTCGCGTGAATTATGACTGTTACAGATAATACAGAATTGCTTTTCGGATTGTAAAATGCCAATCGGCCGGTCATGAATATTGATTAAATCGAACCGAATTTACGATAGACGGCCGTACGTATTGTATACGCGGTGCCGGCGTAATGATTAAAATTGTGTGTGATAGCAAAAGAAATATCGGTACTACACAGAGTACCCTACAAGGTGCATATTGACCGTTCCTATTTAAATTAGAGTGTCGTTCTGATGCAGATTCCGTTCAAATAAGGGAAGTTGAAAACGAATCGCGCTAAAGTGAGCACCGACATTACACAGGGTCGTACCTACATTTTTTATCGATGCAATTTCCATTTTTAATCATTATTTTTTAATGCTGATTATACGATCTGAACATCTCTTTTAACTACTATATTTTTTATAGTGGACTGTTTTTATTCGGGAAATATTTAAATATTAATTAAGTGTAGTATGTTTATTTGAAATGAGTAAGTATAATGGTACTCCGGTTCTGCACAAATAACCTCAGGAGAACTCAAAGGATGGTAACCACAATGTGTGACGGGGAAGAAGGATATTACCTCGCTTTAATACTCATTTAATACAATATAGACGAGTAGCATCTGTATCAGAAAAACCTTGTGGAGGAAGGATTATACAAAAAAAAAATGATATAAATTTTTTGTACCCATCCAATTCCTAGGAATGATGCTATTTATTAATTTAATTCAGCACCGTCATTCATTAATAGTTCTTTTATATAATTCGAGTGTGCCATTATTATTTAAATCTTTTTCTTCCTTAATCCTTTTGATTATTGTATAATAAGGATTAATGATTTGAGGTTAATGCGACCGATTCGCAAATTCGATTGAACCTAATTCCTCACTTGTTATGACAACAATGGAATCGAACATGCACGATCGAAGCTCTTCGTGAAAAAAGGTTTTTAAAAGAGTATTGACATTGAAAAATGACAGTAATTTTGGTAAGTTGTGTAACAACATTTTGAATTTAGGCACGATCTATTCTTTAGTATAAATTTCATAATAGTTAAATTTTAGCTTCGTTTACTTTGAAATGGATCAATTCGGATTATGTATTAACTTCTGTAACTGAAATGCCCTTTCGATTCTGGTCAAGATAATAAAGTAAGGTGTAACATTGCAAAATATAGATTTATTATTAATGCGAATACTTCCATCAATTTAAACTTTGATCTGTGACAACTCGCTCGTGAATTTGCTACCATTTCACAACATTATCCATGCATGAGTAACGTAATTGTAAATTGTAAATAATCTATTTTCTTTGTCTCGCTCAAAATTTTTATTTACCAATTTTTAATGCGATGGTTGCTTACATAACAAAAAATCGTATACCTACGTTTCTTCATTAGTAAGTTAATTTAAATTGCATAAATTTTTTGAAATCGACGACGGAATCGCCAACAAAGCCATCATTTTAAAATTTACAATAGCAGAAAAAAAACGTGACCCTTTTACAATCTAAATATTTAACAAACGAAAGTTATTGTCTATTAAATCCATTCCGCGCGGCACAAATACCTACATATTATGCAATGGATATTCGTTTAAAAGAGACCTCCGCAGAAGAAGTCTCTTATAATATGAATATTTAACTAATAATCCAATAATCTTCTACATAATTTATTAACTGATCAATTAATTTGTGGCGTAGAAAAAGGCCCGCTATTAATCAATATATTCAGATTTTGTGCGATGGGACGCGAAAAAGTAAAAACTCGCATTCCTTCTACATTCTCTAGTGACACAATAGAAAGCGATTCCGGAAAAGAATCGAACCAAACCAAAAGACATTTTATGCGCAATCGAGAAACGGTAATGATTTATACGGAACGCGTGCCCGTATCGAAACTTATGGCGCCTGCGACTCGTTTTTAATAATCAGTAGTCACTTTATAGTTCGACCACTTTCTCCTAAATGAACTCGACCCCAACCGAAGAGGAACTGCATCTCACGCAACGCACGAAGGTTAAGGTGGCACAAGATAACAGCTTTTGCACCACACGTATTGCATCAAAACATCCACCATAAACCATCAATACTTTGTTTATCTCTAACTGTTCATGTTTTCTTATTTTTTCATTTCCATGAATAGGAATGGTTTTAATAGAACCTATGGTAGCACCAATATGCTGCCTACATGGTCTATTTTTCTTCTTCCTTCATCCTCATTCTTTATTCTTCATCTCCTTCATGATAAAAATTCTTTTCTCTATTTTATTAATAGGAATTATTCAAGGTGTATTTCTATCATTATCCTCAAATGAACCGCTGGCGAAAACAACGTTCGTCTGTTTCAATTAGAATTTCCTCGCGTATGTACCGACGATACCTCCACCTCTTTCTCTCTGCGCGTTCATTACATCACGTTGGAAGCATAATCATCTTTACTATAGTTACGATTTTGATTTAATTACTGTCATTCCGACGGGGCAAAAAAAGGACGGCGCGGATGAACTTGAGACGCTCGGAATTTCTGCTTCTAGACAATCGACGGAGTTGTTCCTTTGGAGAAAAGCGAGATCGATGATCCGCGGACGGAGGTAATTGATTGTGTGGCGATCGCTCGGAAATTGGAAAACGTCAAGGATGAAGCTAAACGGTTTTTATGAATACACGCGTAATTGATGTAACGTGTAACAAGAAAAACTGAAATGTCCAATGAACGACTCGGTCGGGTAAAATTTGTTTTTTTAATGTATATTTAATAATCATCGTATACTTAGAATATACAATTTGCAGGAAAATTTACGTAATTATGTGGTAAGAAATTGTAGGTAAATATCAAATTCTGAAGCTTAATTTTGTAGCTCATTATTTTTGAGATAAAATTTAAAATTAATTTGTTACATACTATTCATGTTGAGCGTTGGTTGGTTTATTATTTAGATATTTCGTGTACGGAACGTTCAAATAAATAATCATGATATTGATAAAGTCAATAGCACACCTTTAGAAAAGTGACACAGTTCAGTAGTTTTAATTTTATTTTGCAATAAACACATTTCGTGCTTGTTGTATCTAATTGTAATTTTTATTGTTGCACGCACGAATGTATTTTTTAATTTGTACCAAAGTAATCTATGCAACATTTTACAAAGTCGATAAATTCATTTCATAAATAATTATTAAATTCGACTTTCATGAGTTGAGATGCAAAATCGAACAGCTGCGTGCATTTTAAAAACGTTAATATGTAAATAAATAGTCAAAAGTAATAAACAGAACAATTGTATCGAACTATTAATACGGCACAATTATACCCGTAGACAGGAATCTAAATTATACACTCCAGTCCCGTCATTAATATTATTAGTCACTTCTAAATTCGCGTTGGTTGGCTTCGTACGCGCTATTGTCAATCAAAGCACTTAATGTCTCATTTGCAATTCATACTGAATGCATTTATGAAGATTTATTGACGAAATTAATAAAATTGTTACATTTTTGTTGTTTGATTCCAACGCGTCGGTTTCGTATTGTAAGTGTAATTTAAAATGCAGATTTTAGTCAATTAATCAGGTAAATTGCACCGTTCAGTAGAGAGGCCTAGAGTTCACTACTTTGAAATTGTTTCTAAAAAATGTTCATAAAAGTAGAGAGGAAATTTTGTGTCTAAAAGTAGAGAGAAAATTTTGTGTATAAAAGTAGAGAGAAAATGTTGTTCATGAAGGTAGAGAGAAAATTTTGAGCATAAAAGTAGAGAGAAAATTTTGTGCATAAAAGTGGAGAGAAAATTTTGTGCATAAAAGTAGAGAGAAAATTTTGTGCATAAAAGTAGAGAGAAAAATTTTGTGAGTACTGAACTCTATCCTTAAAGTTTGATGGTAACAAAAGCTGACCAGACGAAAATGCTCAAATCCACTCGATCAGACTTAGATCGGACCGGGGTTTTTATATCGGTCATTTCGTAGTCAGGTCTTGTGCGTCCTTAAAGAGGTTGAAAAGGACCCATCTCTTGACGTGACACTTTAAAGTATGCGCCGCTTTTTATCGACTTAAAACGTCGAAGTTGCCAGAAAAACAAACCAGTTTGTAGTCGTTAACATGTCGGTCGCATTTGTTTAATTTTTGGCAAGGAGACTGGCTCAAAAACCGCGCCAGCAGTGTGTGGTGTTTTCGCAAACCAGAGACGGGCTTCGGGAAAATTAATTCCCAAATACATTTCCAGCGCATTTGTTCATTGACGATTGTTGAGTATGCCAATTTGCGGGTAGTTGTTTCAGAAAAAAAGTTGAAACCGATCCTGTTTGTGAACCGATATCAATTTGCGAAAGATACTTTCGGATGACATCTACAGAGATAAATTTGATAAATGCGCTTTGTCAAAAATTTTAACCGCCTATAGTCGTGCCGACAGATTGGCCTTATCTTATCATTTCGGACACACCTTGTTTGTTACCGGCTCTTATCTCGACTTTTTCGAAGCCCCCTATCATTCCTGACGTTACAGCTACACAGGGCAGGTTCGTACTACTATTTTTAATACCACTATAATAATAACAAATTCATGATAAGTTACTGAAGGCGTTTAGAAAAAGAGAGTCATTGATTTTTCTAAGCTCGCTACCCGTACATCTTTATATCGTCGTGTAGTCGATACGGAAGAGGTTGGAAATGCAAATAGGCATCGGTAACGAGACAAAAACAATGTCGAATTCAAAAGGAAAAGATTAAAACGACGTTAAACTGGCGTATATATACGAGGAAAAGGAGAAGAAGACGAGATGCGCGGCCCACCCGCGAATCTTCCTCCGGTTTTTTACCACATTCCTCCTGATGTTTGCGCATTAAATCCGCTGACAAACAAATAGTAGGTAAATGAACGCGATTAGAGAAGCTATTACAACTAGGGATTATAAATCTAATTAATTCATACGCTAATTAAATATTATTACCACTACATTCTTACACCTAACCAGAGTTTTTGCACGTAGTGGAATTTTAAAAAGCGCATAATAATTTTCTTGTCGAGCAAATAGGTACGGGTAAATACTATTTTCAAAACACAATATTATAGCGTATAAATTGATTGCGATTGTGTGATATATGCCTCATGACGGGCCGCACGCTATTCCATATGCGCATATTTCATGCAAGAATTCAAAACAGTTCCACTGAATGCATTTCCCTAATCAATAATCTTCTGCTTAACATATTTCTTGGAAGTTTTGTTTTTGTGTAAACTTAATGCTGTTTCCTAGTTTATACGTTTACAATAGATCTTTAAAACAAAAAAAAACACTTAAAGAGAATTCGATTTATTTCTACTAGAGTAATAAATTGGTTAATTTACCGTTCGTTAATTTAATATTTAAGTAAATTACCAATAAATTTTTGTGTTTATGCACGTATATTAACTGAACAAAACCAACGTGAAATTACTTATAAACGTAGCCATACATCTAGTTTTCTTTTTCTGCGTTGCAGCGTGGAGACCCAACCAATTAATGTTTCTAGTAAAGTTTAATTTTTAGATTAGATTCTGGCAGTTGCGTGTCCTTATCGTTAGGTAAGCTGGCAAGCTAATTTAGTAAAGAAGAAGCTCGCCTTAGTATCCCTGATAACACGTGAGGTTACAGGCATACGCGTTGGTAAGATTAATAAACTTATTGTTAAAACGAATCGGTAATTAAAAACGTTATGTTATCATAAACCTTAACGATTATTTTATTCGCATTCACGTATAAATTCTTTCGCGAGTTTTGTTGAGACGTAAACGCACGTCAAATAGACATACTTAAGTTCATTACCGTCTTTTAAAAGCATTAATTTATAATAGTTATAAATTAAATAATAATTTAATTTTAGCGACGTCTAGACGGTACGCGCACTAACTTAAAGAGGCGTTTTATTGGTTTTTTAAAGACACCCTTTCCTCTAAAAGTGCAGACGGTAAATACGTATAATTAAATGGAGGAGAAATAAAACGGAAAAAAACATACCCCATAAATACCTCGAGCCTGAGCGGTACTAATGGGTTATTTTCGATTTTTTTCCGCGAAATTTAATGGCACTAAATAGATAAAATGCGCCACTGTTCCGCCGCGTCGGTAATAATCTCCACGGTAAAACTATGGATAAGTGAGAAATTGTTTCCCCTTTTTTATGGCGACGTCGAATTACCAAGTTGTTCACTTAAAAACACCGGCAATTTTGATGCCACTAACGAGATTAAAATAATTTTTCGACGTGCGGCTAATTGCGCAATTAACAGTATTTGTTGTTGGCTCGATAAACTACTTTTCAGAATGCTTCCGGCGCAATCATAACTTTTGCCGAATAAAAAAATGCATATAACAAACCAAACTCCCGGTGTTTATAAATAAAACATCGAGAGTCGAGAGATACGGAATTCATTACGCTTTTCTTTCAACTATTAACTGCTCCTCCGACGTCGTTAATTAGATCGAACCCTCGGAGTTAAAACGCTAAACTATTCACCCACCCACAAGTTGAAGCCGGTAGTTTAGAAAGTTCCTGTTCCGTTCGCCGTTCGTCGTTCCACCTGAATCTATCGCCGAGTGAGAAATAACTGCCTTCTGGCGTCACAAATTTATGTGGTCTTCGTATCACAATTTTGACGTACCGCATCGTCCTGACTGAAATAATACCCTATTAAGTACCAGACTTTTCCAGAGCAATGGCGTGCCGATCTGAATACCTACAACAACAATACCTTATAATTTAACTCTAGCAGTTTCTTATGCATTCGAATGAGTTTCGTGAGTTGTGGAATCGTAAAAAATACTTTGCGTATAAATTAGTGCCTTATTAGTAATTGGTTGATAAGAGAAGAATGTTGTTCAGTCATTTCCTACGCTTATGAAACCGACACCAGCGAAGAATGCGGAACCGAGTCCAATTTTTGTCCTTTCACGAGAGATTCGACGGATGAATTTTACACGACTTAACACTATTAGTGATGGCTTTATTAGTGATTCATTCCGTATGCCCAGATGAGTGGATGATTTCGCGCCTCGCCACAACTCACAATCATTAGCGAGAAACCTAGATGAGAGTCGTTAGATATGGCAGTTCGAAAAAATCCGGGGAGTTGGTGGCACGAACTTTCGTTTGAAAGTGAAAATGATGTGTATGGGAAAATTAGTTTAGGAAGTGTATTCGAATGCTTCATTTAGGTATCGCGAGTTTTTGTAATGTCGTTGCGTTAAATTGATAATGAATAGGTACTATTATTTGAGTCAAGTTATACTAAATTGCATAATTCAATATGAATACGTTAGATTAATCTTTAAAATTCCAGCATGATTAACAATAATAATATAAATAGTTTCGATTTTATCTTTGTTTGTGATTAATGCCGTACATTTTATATCTTATTTAGAGTATTTCGAATTGAATAGTTTTACATACGTGCTCTTCGCGTTTTATTTTTGCTCGATTAGTAGAATACATTGAGGTATCGTAACACTGAACGATTGCGTCCTGATTATTTTTATGTCATATTTTAATAGTCCAGTACTGTTTGTAAAATTGTAAAATTTCCCATCAAGCCTTACATTTAGATCAAAGTATTCCTGCAACCAATATTTTTGTAATTAATAAACAAACTTTAATTTCGAAAAATAATTAGTCTTAAAAGTGAATTCTGTTAATTAATTCCATTCTCCAATCTCCTCAATTTTCCGCTACAAACACCTGCAGTCGGGTTGTTCCGTCGAAACTGTTTTATGGTGTATCGCGGAGATACGTTTTGGATGAATAACACCGAGAACGATAAATATTTCGCGTGGTGATTTTTTTTTCAAAAAACGGCTTTGTATCTAACATCTAAACGTGCGTTTCCACATA